TGACAGGATAAGAAGAGGGCACTTTGGGGAGTGCTGAGACAGATGGATTATTTCTCGAGGGGATGTTTGTGCTGTTTGTTTTCTGATAACATATAAATAATGACATAAGCCAAGTTCAAGTACCCACTTATCCAGTGAACTGAGTGGCTGGCTTTGGGCTAGTCATTACCTTTCAGCCTCCCCTACTTTGCACGCTTGTTTGCATGTGTTTTATCTTCCCCGCTTTGGGCGTTGTTTTCAAATGGTGAGTTGTTCCCTGCTTGCCAGTTAGAGGCAGATAAAAATCTAAATAGAAATGATAAATTGTTGCATACATGTGTTTAGGATCTAGCAAATGGTTTTGCAAAATTTGGAAAAGTAGGAGTATTGTGGAGTTGCTCTGTTTTGGGTCATGCATGGGATTGGGAAGGGTAGAGTGAGTGAGCTCGCATTGAAATGTGTGCCAAATGCAGTTGCCCTTCACAATCATAAGACAGACAAAGACAAAAAAGCTGTCGATTTGGGAATCAAGCTTCTTGTCTGGAAAATGATTCTGGGGGAATCAAGGATCTGGTTCTTTTCACTCTTGCTGAGATCACAGAAGAAAGCGAGGTGGCTGCCTTCTGCTGCACGCTGATGCTGTTCCTCGAAAAATTTTAGTCTCTGAATGGTTAAGCAGCAAATCAGCTGCGTCTGTTCCACTTAACAACGTTATGGCAGAGAGAATCCTGTTGGGACTCATTCTGTTGTCTCACTGGGACCCGTAAGTCCCTGCTCTAATTAATTATATTAAACTAGTTTATATAATTACTTTTCTAGTTAATTAAGTCTTTCCTTTGCGAAATGGCCTGCAATAGTGCCAGTTCATAACTGATGGCTGAATAAGGTAGAGAAAGTTTTCTATGCAGGCACCTATGGAAGTGCAGTCAGATATGGAGAGGGGCTCACTGCCACTTACAGGGCGTAAGTGTCATCCCTGCGAGAAATGCAGAATGGCCAGAATATTATTTGTGGCATTCTTATTATTGAATACGTTTATCTTCAGCTAAACTTGTTTAAAAACAACTCTAAGAGCTCATAACAGCTAAGTTTATGTCTGAAGACCTGTTTGATTTGAAATAAAGAATTGGCTTCCACGTAATAGAAATATGTAAATATCATTTGGTAATTAAAAACATTTAGTCTTGTTAAAGATCAGGCTGGAGATACTGGCATCGTACAGCTATTTTTTTGTTTATTTGTTTAGTTGCAAAGTCATGTCCGACCCATCGCGACCCCATGGACAACATTCTTCCAGGCCCTCCTGTCCTCCACCATCTCCCAGAGTCCACCAAAGCCCACACCCACTGCCCCAGTGACTCCCTCCAGCCACCTCATCCTTTGCCGTCCCCTTCTTCTTTTCCCATCTATTGTTCCCAGCATTAGGCTCTTCTCCAGGGAGTCCTTCCTTCTCATTAGGTGGCCAAAGTATTTGAGTTTCATCTTCAGGATCTGGCCTTCTAAAGAGCCGTCAGGGTTGATCTCCTCTAGGACTGGCTGGCTCTATCTCTTTGCAATCCACAGGACTCTCAGGAGTCTTCTCCAGCGCCACAGTTCAAAGGCCTCAATTCTTACGGTCCCATACAGCTATTGCTACACCTCAGTTTAGGGCCATGCTAAGATAAGGCAAGCTTGTTAAACTGAAGTGTATACAGTGTCTATCCCGCTCCTACTTTTTGTCAACATACACCCATATCCACACACTCCGAACAGCTGCTGTGGACACCAGACTGTGAGACTGAGGAAGCTCATGTTGCTAGAAAGGGTCAACTGGGTATCACCTGGTGTGTAGAACAGAATCTCAATCTGCCACAGAGTAAAATTCCTATTTTATTTCTTTTTATACCTCTTATATTTCTCCCTTTAGGCAAAAAGCCCCCAGCAAATAGTTATAGTAACAACAACAAAAACAACAACACTAAAACTAACACAAAAGTTAAACACAATCACAGTGAAGATCAGCAATCAAAAGTGTCAGATTAAAATTGTTCAGAATGTAAAATTTCTGGTGCCAAAGTTATAGCAGGTGGGAGCTGGTGAGTCTCTCGGGGGGAGAATTCTGTAAACAAGTCCCCTGCCCACCGCTGACATTGCCCTCTCCCGAAGTCTGCCTTGTTGCAGATGGCAAAGCAATACAATTCATATCAAGATTCTCCCCCTTTGCTGTTTTGTCATGCTTTCCAGATAAATACGTATACAGAAATTTTCGGTCATTACACTTAAGGTACTTAACTTTTTTAAAGCCAAGTAAATAATTTCCCCATTGTCACAGTCAACCTGAATTTTAGACATATCAGTTGAGAATGACTAATGAATAATTATACTTGATTATGGCTGCTTGTGGAGAATTGAAGGAGGTCTGTTACAGCAAAGAATTTACATTTAATGATTCCACCCACCACATCCACTTAGCTGGCCGTGCCTTAAAAGTGCACCTCTCTTCATTACTTCAGCTTTCCACATATTCATGAACTTATGTTCTGCCATTTGGCACAAGCCTGTTTCAGTGTCAGAGGCTAAATGCTTCAGTTGTCACAGAGCAGAATTGATGTGTGGCTTCGACCTTTCTGAGTTGGTTTGTCAGTTCACTTGGGGGTGAGCTACACAGTCACTCAGAGACACCCTTCCACTCACCCACCCCCACACGTGAGAACTTGGATGGTCCACTACTTTTTGTAGGGGCAGAAAACTAGTTTTTCCTATTGTATGTTATATACATTGCTCTTGCAGGTTCAGAAGGGTCAACAGGTATGAATGGAAAGAGAAACAGGATCAAATTAAATCATTTGGGAATTTAAAAAAAAATACCTTTTTTGTTGGGAATTTCCTATATAATTCTACCTCTTCTCCCAAAACCTGGGGAAAATGACTTAGCTTAATGCTTTTCAGAATATAATTTTAGTAAGAGGATTGGTGTCTCTCCAACCCAGACCCTCCAAATGAAGTGATGGAATTGCAGGCCAGCACACCTGGAGGGCATCAGCTTGTAGTCCTATCCAGGTGTTATTCAACTGTACCCTTGCAGAGGGAGTGGGATTGCATTGGCTGGACCGCTTCCCCTATGCCCCCCAATTCCGCAGAAAAGTATTATGGGAGATTCTGTTTGGCTGAATGAGCTTAGAATCCTCCCTGTGGGGTCTTTCCCTTGCTGCATTTGCTTTGGAAAACATCTATACTGCTTTTCTTTTAAAAATGATAATCCCAAAGCATTGCTCAATATTAAATCACGATTAAATACCATAAAACAGATGGGTAAAACAGTAAGAAACAATTAAGCATCTCACCAAAATCACCAGGGGCAATGCCAACATTGGGAAATGTCTGAGTAAACAATTGTAACTTCAGTTCTCAACAGACACTTTCCACACTGGGGCCTGCCAGATGGTTACACGTGGTCCGCCACACAGCTGGGACGGCCCTTCTCTGCTCCATGCTCAGATGAACATTAGTCCGCAGTGGTACTGCTTTCATAGTTAATGGGCCAACACCTGTTTTTGTTTTACCTTCTCCAATTGTATTGCATTAATTGTGTATGTGCCAGTTTTAAGTACAAGCTGTCTTGGGGAGCTTTGTTAGAATGGCTCCTGCTGGGAATTTTAAAAATGCCTTTCTAGCGCTTACCCTCCATTTGACAGGTTCTCTTTCTACCTGTCCTTTGTACTCCAGAATATAAAAGTTCTCTGTTCCTCTGTGCACTGATTAACACCATTTATGGTGCACTGGTTTTCTCATGGCGTTTGCACCCCCACTGCAATTCACCAACAAGCTGTACTTACTTGGCTATAGGACAATTGTTCAGCATAAGAAGTGTAATGTGGCATAAGTTAAGAAGTAACGCAGTGTAGCAGGTAGTGTTGGACTAGACCTGGGTTCAAATTCCTACTTGGCCATGAAGTTTAACTGTGATCCAGGGTCACTTGTCTCTCAGCCTAGCCTATACCTCACCTGATGGCTGTGAGATAAAATTCAGGAGGGATCCCTGCACAAGTATGTGTCCTCGTGAGATTATATGTTCAATTGAAGGAGGCTGAGATGACTTTAAAATAGCTGTTCGCCTACAAGGACAGATGTATAATCTTTCTGCTATAGGCATTTGAATTGCAAGGATACAAATATATTGGAGCATAGATCTCTCCTCCCTCCTGCTTTGCGGGAGTAGGAGAGACTGAAAAAGGGGGGAATTGCTAGTTAATGGCAGCTAATCAAAAAGGTGGCCTAGAGGTGTAGGGATTGGGTAGCTTGGGTTTAGCTTTTGTGGGGTGGGATGCATAGTGTGCATTTATAGAAACATAGAATAGCAGAGTTGCAAGAGGCCAAGAAGGCCATCAGGTCCAACCGCCTGCTGTTGCAGATCACCATTTACACCATTCCAGTTGGACCTGCTATTCTTGGTTGGAACATGTCTTTGTTTTTGTTTGCCTCCTCTCTCTTTTTAAAGTGTTGCAATCCACCACTAAACATCTGGATAAAGCTGAGAACATGTTTCCATGTTATTTTTGCTATTCAAGTCCTGGAAGGGTCCCATTTCACCTTCTGAGGTTCAGTGAGGTTCAACCAAGGTTCCATTTGGATGCCAGGAAGCACTTCCTGACAGTCAGGACCCCGAGGGTGTGGAATGGGCTTCCCCGGGAGGTGGTTGAGGCCCCATTGGTGCTGGTGTTCAAGGATAGGCTGGACATGCACATGGTGGGTATGTTGTGAGCGGAGCTGGCTGGAGCCGGGGGTCAGACTAGATGGCCCGGGAGACCCCTTCTGACTCGCTATGTTTCTATGTTAATGTGTATTCTGATATTGGGAGAAGTGTCTTCCTAGCTATGCAGTTGCAGTGAATAATACATGATGTCTGAAACCACCTGATACTTCCATCTCTGCAAATTGTGACTCATTTGGTTTTGTTTCCTTCCCTTCATGTCTATACCAAATTTTGTATAATTAAAAAATAACAGGCCCTCTTTTTTCTTTTCTTTTCTGTCTCTGTTCAGGTGCTCTAGCAGTTTCTATCCCTCGCCTGGATATAGTGATCGCTCTTGTTGGAGCCATAAGCAGCAGCACGTTGGCCTTGATCTTGCCGCCATTGGTTGAAATCTTCACTTACTACAAGGAGAAACAAAGTTCATGGATAATACTGAAAGATATTTCTATAACCTCCTTTGGAGTTATTGGATTTCTAACTGGCACCTATGTGACCATCCAGGAGATTATTTGTCCGGCTGCCTTGATTTCCGTTAATGCTACAGGAATGACTGACTGTTTCAATACTACGTCACACCCAACCATGGGTGCTAATTAATATTTGGAAGATCACAACTCTCCTGGGTTTTTTGTTAGTTTGTTTTTACTGTGGATATATCTGAGAACCAAAGAGAAAGACAGATTCCAATTGTGTAGGTTTTTTAGATGGGAGTCATTTGAAATTATGTCTGAAAACCTAAAACTTACTTTGGTCCATAATGCAAAAGCAGTCAGACCAAGATCTCACTTTTCTTTCCTTCCTTCCTTTCCATTTGACCGCTGCAGAGCATCATCCAGGGAAGGGTGCTCTGCCCAAGCCTTATGGCCACCTGTGTGTTCTTTTGCAAAGGGACCAAAAAGCCAAGCACTACCTGACTCCTTGCTTGGCTGACAAAAATGAAGGCAATGTAATTTTTCCATAAATCCACTTTCATTTTTATGGGGTTTTGTTCCGCAACTGGCCAGGTCTTGGATTAGCTCATTTTTTCCCTGGGAAGTTGGCTGTTCCAAACATGAAGTATAACGAAACTAACAGAATTCCTAGTGGAAGGTTATGCGGGGGAACATGGGGACTAGATATGTTAACAATTTTTCCTAATGTCTGAAAAGCAGTATGTCTTACAGACGATGCCTTTGTCACAACAGTCTTGTTGCAGAATCCAGAACATCAAAATTGGCTCCTACTGTGATGGGATCTTGCACACGCAACTTCTGCCTGGACCATTTGAGCAAAAGGGAGCCATTATGATGAATCATCACATAAGCTATTGAAGCCGTTCCCTTGCCCTCCATTATACAGAATTGCTGCCCTACAGCTCAGCAAAATGGTGTATTTTATTATTTATTCCAAACGTTACAGAGCACTTCTGTATTTGTATTTTGGTGCTGTTTATTTCAAGGAGATATTTCTGCAGACTTTCACTTTAAATGGAAATAACATGTTTTGATTCTTTCATGTTTTCGTCCACCTTTTAAAGGAAATGAGCACTGGCATTGTGTTGATGCCTTAAGTGCAATGAAAGAGTTAATGGAATAGATCTAGATTCGCTCAAAGCAGTCCCAGAGAAATCAATGAGGCCCAATTTAACCATGGCCATCTTAAGTCCCATTGATTTCAAAAGCTCTGAACATGACTATGTCTTGCTCAGTCTACTGTTTTGGACCTTTTTGAAATCAACTGGACATCTTAAAATTGCTCACTTGGTAATTTGCAAAGACTTGAAAAACCAACACAACCTCTGCACTGAAAGCTGCATTTGCCCGAATGCTTTTGGTCATGATCCCTCGGATTTTCTCTTGTGCAGAAGCTCCACTAAAAGTATTAGGAGCTGCCATTGTGGTATTCCCATTCATTTCTGCAGAGTTTTCATAAGACAGCATCCCATGGGGAAGGAGCCAAACCACACAGAACTGCAGACAAACACAAGTCTTGTGTACAAGACTTTTGTGCTCTTCACGGACTAAGCCATGAGAGGTTTTAGGAATTCAGGAGATTTTGTGGGGATCTTCATTTCAGACTGCTTAGCCCACTTTCATGTACAACTGCAGTTGTGGTGGAGTTCCATATTTCACATGCCTCGAACCCACGAGGATCTGACCACCCTCCTGGAGTCTGCCCATGCCACTCCCCCTCTGAACCCAGATCTCTGACTTGGAGCATGAGTGTGCTGCCCGTCGTTTTTCCTAAGGGACAATTTTATTTTAGAAAGGAATTTAATTTAATTCCATTTAATTTTAGAAAGGAGAAAAGCCTACAAAGCATGGTTGGCATGATTGGAATTGTAGGACTTTTCAAATGTGCATAGGATTATATCCTTAATCACATACAAAACCCAAATCGTGCTCAGCTTGCGCCATAAAGGAAGGCCTCTATGCAGCCGCAACATTAGCTTGCACTAGAGGGGTGGGAAGACCCTGCCTTGCCCAGATGTCCTTCTTGACTTCCCCCTTTCGTTTTCCACCTGGCTGGTGGCCGGTTAGCATTCAGGCGCACAGCTCTGCTGCCATTGCATCTGGTTTGTACTTGAGTGTACATACAGTTGCTAGTTTTGTTTTTTAATTGTATCCGAGCAAGGCAGCCCTCACTTTAGTTTCTGGCAGCTCCTTCTGTGTGTTTTCAGAAGATACTAAACTGCCAGCTCTGCTGGAATCCTCCATTTTCTGGCCTACGAATCACATTGGAGGCTTCCAAGCAGAGTCTGTGCCAATACGCCCTAGATTGGAGGAGTAACGCTTGGCCAGCGGTACTCTTTGACTCCCACACACTGATGGCCAGGCCGGGACTGTGATCTTCAGGTCATGCTTGTTAATCCCATAAGTGCCTTTTCCCTCAAGTGAGTGTAGGCTGTTACATCCAGAATCCGCATCATTGGAAACACCTGGATTTCTATTCTTTGGAAGGATTCCACTCCAAATGTTTTGGCTGGAGGTCTCCAGCCCTGCCAGCATGCCAGACTACTCTCATCGGACAGCCCAGCTCTTCAGCTTTCTTTCCTGTCCTCCACTTGCGTGTAAAATGCTCCCCTGTAATTTTGATGTTACATATTTGAAAATGGTTAACAGATGGAGCCGTACTCGAAACACAATTGTGTCTCAGTGTTCTGTGTGTGCATAATTTGCACAATGTATTTTTCAATGTTTTCCTACTGTGTAGGGACTTCTATTTCGAAGCACTTCTGATTCAGAGCAGACTTCCCCAGGTGCAGTGCCTTTATCTCGAGGGCACTCATTCTCCTAGTCTCAATAGTGCTCTTGTATTCCGTTGAATCCCATTGGTCTAAAAATGTGAAGAAAAAGAAACTTCTCCAAAAGAAGATTTTTAATGCTACCTTGTCTAATATTGGATCAGTTACTACATGCGAAATAAATTTCCGAGGAATACATGCCAAAGATAGTGATGCATTAGATTAGATACTTAGATGAAGCTGGAACTAATGAATGAATGTGAAACTGAAAACAAGTATTTAAGGGGGCAACAGAAGTGATCATCTGTATGTCAGAAAAGTAGAAGCAATTCCAGTGGATGCTTTTGTGTTTGTGAAGCATAGATAGAGAGGAATTATGTTAATATGCAGTATATGGATGTATATTTAAGTGGGTTATATGGTGGGCACTTTTAAAGTAGCTTATTCATTGGTTGCATTAAAAAGAAGACTGGACCATGTATCCATTAACTTTCCTAAGGCACCAAAGCTGGGCATGAAGCTTTGGAGATTGTACAGTGTGCGGTAGCTTATGCAGACATTATCTAAATAAAACTTGTGACATAAATCGTCTCTGTTTTTCTATATTTCAACATGTCACTTTGGGTAGCTTTTCAGAGGTGTGGGGCAGTTAGCATCCACTAATTTAGTAGGCAAAAGGCACTCTTAGCCATGTTCAAAGGGTGATATTCAGTGGCAGCCACATATCCTGTTTGTAACTGCTAGTAAATATTTCTGAATTTGTTTGTCTGAACAACAACTCTTCTGTAAACACAGAGCTGGATTGATTATCGAGTTTTGGTTTTGCAGAGTTTCTTTGGCAAAGCAAAATCGTGATGTTTACTTGACTGGCATCCTGTAGAGATGGCACCTGGCCAGCTTCTTGTGTTATAAATTAATACAGCCTCCAACAGGTACAGTACACCCTGTGGGGGGAAAGAGAAGCTCAGATAAGGATCCTTCATAGAAATGAAAGTGCTACACAAGAGCGTTCCTCAGACCCTGTCAGGGCAATACAAATATTCTGAAGACGGGAGCAGCCACGCATGTCATGGACTGAGTCAACATGACGAATAACAGAAGTCCAACGTTGCTGCTTTGGCAATTGTGTACATATTTATGGATGAAACGCATGTTATATACAATCCAACATTTTGCCAAGGTAGTGAAAAAAGAAGACTCAGTTATTGGAGGTTGAAACAAAAAGAAAATGGTATCATAACACTTTTTCCTGAACGACGAATTCAGGACGTAGACAGAAGGCCTCTAGTTTGGATGCAGACTGCCCATTCTCAGAAGCTCTTGTTCTAGTCAGAAATTAATACATTCATAAGACAGTGATTCAAGTTCAGAAGAGAGCATGACAAATGTGCAAGTTTCATTCAACAAGCTCACTAATCATGAAATTCAGCCATATCACTCATGTAAAGCTCTTGCACATTCCTGGGTCTTCCCGTTTCTGTTTCCTTGGATTGGATTGTAAAGAACCTAAATATTGCCAGCTTTTGAAATGAAACACTAGAACTGCAGGGCAGTAACTTGGTGGATGGAAGAAATTTCAAGCTAAAAGAATGGGATTTCAAGGAGATGCAGTTAAAGTGTCCTTCCAGGAAAAAACCTGATGCCAATGCAATATTTTTTCACCTATACTGTGCATTTAAAAGAAAAATAATGGGGCGGTATATGCTGTGTGTGTGGGAGGAAAGAGAAATAACTTTTCCGACAAGTGGACCCCAAACTGTTTTGCAGATCATTTTGCAATACCTTGGAGATGAGATGCATTTCATAAAATTCCATTTTTATAACATTGCTCATGGTTTGCTATACCCAGTTCGTAAAGTTATAGTATCTTGAAACAAGTCAGCTTTATAAAGAGTGGTTTGAAGTTGGGTTGTTTCAAACAAGCCATCGTTAAGATTACCTACAGTGCATTGGGTTCAGACAAAGTGACAAGCCATAGTTAATCAAAACCAAAACAAATGTTTACAAAGGTATCTGTAGAGCAGGGCTACATTCTCTTTCACAGAGGACAGCCCACTGTTTGAAGAAATGACAGAGGACTGTCCTCTATTTTGAAGGGATCTTTTATGTGAGGAGCTGTCCAGTCCAAAGCCAAATGGTAAAAATGAAGATCCGTCAGAAGGAAGAGCTGAGCCTTAAATTTGCCCACCATCAGTGACTGGACAGCAGATTGAGCAGGGTACATGGGTCACCTTATCACAGTATTTCAGACTATTATGAGATATACTGAGTTTCTGTTTCAATTAATTATTTCTACATGTGCACCTATGTGCAGAAACTCGCATGTAAATATTATGCACATTGATTTTTTGTCCTCTTTTTGAGTGATTCATCAATGATCTGCCTATTTCCTTCAGCTTTGCTGAAGAAAGACACAGAAAAGCCTGAGGTTCACCATGGCTTGTCCCCATTATGACATGGCTTTTTTCACCTTAAATGCCAACGCATTAGAATCTGCCAGTCTTCCTCAGTGACTGTCAGGGTTAGGGGTAGTATGGGTGCTCCCTAAGGCCAGTCACAGTTTCAATATACACAGGAAATCTGGTTGTTATAAAGGCCTAGCAACATGGACACCTGTGGCCAGACGCTGTAGGCACTGAACTCTTGTGTAGGGTGGTGCTGAAAAACCATTGTTCTAGGATTTTGTATTTTACATTATCCCTTGGTGGCTTCCCCCAAGGCAAATAGGCATCAAAAGCACTGTGACAGCACACCAGAGTACTGGATAAAAAGAAATACTTCTACCACCTATAAGTTTTCAGAACTCCCCTTCACAAATCCTGGTTTAAACTTATATTTTTGAACTTATTTTGCAGTTACTTGTATTGCTGGCAGGCAGTAGAAATGCATTCTTTATATTCTTGTGAAGATTTCTTTCTTTCTTTTCTTTCTTTCTTTCTTTCTTTCTTTCTTTCTTTCTTTCTTTCTTTCTTTCTTGAGCTTGTAAGTTTAAGGGAGCAGATCACTTCTAGCAGAACACCGAGCGTTTTTTTGCTACATGTAGAAACTGCACTACTGGTTCAGACCAGTCTGATGCTTCCAGAGATTCATTACAGCACAGCCACTGGTCCAGCTGGTTGTCTGCCATGTTGGTTTTAGGTGGGCCTCTATTGGAAGGGAGCTACGAGATGTTGATGTGCAAGTGCCAGTTGCTGCCTTATGCCTGACAGATTGTCCACTAAGTCCACCATTGTCTAGCTTCTAGAAACACCTCTTCAGGGTCTTGGGTAGAAGTCTTTGCTTGTTACCTGATCCTGTTTCACTGGAAGATGGCAGAAACGGATGCATGTTGATGATGTGCTCTTTCTCTGAGCAATGGTGCTTTCTCTCTATCCAGCAACCCTGAGGAATGGCTATCCAGCCTCGGTTGAAGCATCTTCAGCAAAGGACAGCTCACTACCTCCTATTGAACAGTGTCCACCGCTAGGAAATTTCTCATAAATCCGCCCTGCAATTTCCACCCATTTGTTCTGGTTCTGCCTACAGCAGCAAGTCTGTCTGATCATCTGTGCAATTACCTGTCAGATGTGTGAAGACCCTTGTGATATCTCCTTTAATCTTCTCTAGGCCAAACAAACCCAGCTTTTCCAATCCTTCCAACTTTGTATCTGGGGCCTTCACCATCATGGCTGCTCTTCTCTGGACACATTGCAGCTTTCAGTGTCCTTCTCAAAATCTGGCACCCAGAAATGACTGCAGCACTCTGAAGGGGACCTGAATAAGGTGTGTCCAAACCGTACCCTCTGCAACTGGCTAGTGACTGGTTCCTCTGTAGGTGTGTTGATTAAAAGACCTCGTTCCTGTCCATCAGAGTGATTCCTTGCCTTCGGTGGCAGCGTGATTGGAATAACTGCCATGAGTGGAGACTTTTCCCTGTCTCTACTGCACGATGCAGCTCCATACAGCACAGTAACTCACTTTGCACCAGGAGGTAGCAGCCAGTGGTCAGCATGTCAAGGTGAAATTGCCTGAGAAAGCCAAAGGCAAGCAAAGGTTAAATGTAACCAGCATGAACTCCAAAGGGCAGGCGGTGCAAGAAGTGTTGCACTCACTAACACAACCAGGAGGACAACCCAGTGCCTGTTAAGTGAACATTTAGGGGAGGAAACGGTCTCCCAGAATCCTCAGGATGGCTGGCTCGGGGATGGTGGGAGTTGTGGGCCTTTTCCCTATCTAAATCTGCATAGGATCCCATCTTAGATTTACTTAGCCCAGAGTAACCCACGTATTTCCTTCACAGATCATAGCCTCTGTGTGTGTGTGGGCGGGGGGGGGGGGGAGAGGGAAATAAAACAATGTGGGGAGAGGGAGAAGAAAAGATTAAAGGGAGACATAATAGCAGTCTTTAAGTTTCTGATATTAGTAGAATCATCCTAATGGTACAGTGAGGGCCGTTTGACAGTGAATGACGTTGCTTCAGGAAATGGTCGTCTTTCATTGTAAGCACTTGAGCTGAGATTAGGTGACCCTTTCTCATGGATGCTCTAATGGCGAGATTCCCACAATGAACAGCAGGACTGAATGGAACAGTCCCTCCTGCCTTCTTTTGGCTGGAGGACTCACTTGGAATGCTGCTAGTGCCACAAGCATCTCACAAAATGTCTGCCATGGAGGGGTTGCCCAGTGAGAAAATGGCTGCCATGCTGGGCATGGTGCACTCCATATGTATTGGGCTGCACTTCCCCTAATTTGACAGCCAGCTGTGGTGAAGGCTGCTGCAGGGAAGCAAACCTCTGCCTGACCACGGCTGGGGAGAAGCAAAATTGCAGCCAACAATTCAAGAAACTGACATGGTGATTCAAAGAGGAAGTGTTTCCTGAAACGGTCCTGCTCTTTACGGTTTTCCCCCAGAAAATTTTGATCTTTCTTCACCACATCTATTTGGGAATCAGTTCCGTTGAATTCAGTGGGGCTTGCTTCTGATTAGAAAGGCAAAAGATCGGACTTTTTAGCATCTGATTCTTTCTGCTCCACAAAATGTAAATGGCACAGGCATGCTTTTCAGCCTTCAGGCCTGCTGAAATAAATAAAATGCAAATAAAATATCTTTGGAGGTTGTGGTTTTTGTTTTTCTTTTACAAGATGTTCTTATAAAAAGAAAGAAAAAAGGCCAAATATTTAAAAAGATGAGAAGGTGGAAAGAGAAATGTTTTTTCTAGCATTTACGGTTTCAAAACAGGTTTTCTGGGGATAGCTTGCTGTGATTTTATATTTTTAACAAGCCAGCTACAATCACCATCTTTCTTTGACTGGACACTTTACCACATTCAGCTCTCAAATACCACTTAATACTCAACTCTCAAGAAAGTAAATTGTTGTTGGAGGAACAATTTACCTTCCTCATGAACGTGTCCATTTCTTTGTAGATGCTGCACTGGTAATGGCATACCCTAGTAAATGGCAAAAGAAGCAGCCATTTTTTAAACATGGCAGCCACCATTTTGAATTTTCCAAAAGCCAGGAAGTGCTTCCAAACAATGGTGCTTGCAAGAAGCAAAATAGTGGCTGATCTGATTCTTCCCCCACTTTGCCTGTTCCCCAGGTAAT